CTCCCCTCCCCGCCCGACGCTACCTGTCTCTGGTTAGAGCCGGTCAGCCGTTATTTGGCCGCTCCAGCCCCGCCCCTCCTGCCCGGCCTCAAAATGGCCGCCTACAACCGACTTCCGCCCGTCCGGATGCACCCCTGCCTCCAGCACCTGTTACCATGGTAACCTGCACCCCCCTCAACCGGCACCCAGACCAGGAAGCCCGCATGCTCAGGCGCCCAGGCCTGCTCTGGCCAGCAGAGGGTGACCGAGGCCCAGTGAGGTGATCGGACCAGGGCTTGGAACAGATTCCGTCTTGGCTTGATGAAGCCATCCACTCCAGTTTATAAAATGTGGGTGAGCCCGGATGACACGCGAACTTGGGGAAATTAAAAATGACGCGCTGACGCCGAGCTGGAAACGTAAACCTCCCCGCTGGAAACCCAGGGAGTCTTGTGCGGCATAGCCACCCTATAGCCAGCACAGCAGAGGCGGAAATAGGGTGCCCGCTCAAGAGGGCAGCAGAGCTTGCTGTGTGTGTGTTGTTTGACATTACCCCCAGCTCCCCGATCAGGGTGTCGCTAGGCTTGTGCAGGGCTCCGACCTATGCTTTTCTCCCTTACAAATTCATGTGTGTGGGGGCCAGGACTGAACAGGTTTGGACCTGTTAGGGCCTTGGTCTGCCTTCACTGACATCCTATTGCTTGTCCCGCCGCCCAACCTTGGACCCGGCTCCTCTTTTTAGCTCATCAGACTTTAATACCAAACATTCTGCTTCTCCCTTGAAAACCAAACCAATCTGTCTGTGCACTAATATCTCCTTCTTTGAAACGGGGGCGACTCTCACAGGTCTGTGAAAAATAAGTGGGACAACATGTGAAATGTTGTACCGGGCTCAAGGGAAATGAACCAGTTCAGTGAGCTAGCAGTTTTTCTTTAAAAAAAAAAAAAGCTTTATTGGCACATAATTTACATACAGAATTTCCTTGTTTAATCATATTAAGAATTGTGTAGTCATCCATTTTTCTTTTGTCGTATGGTGCCCGACAGTTCAGCAATACAACTGCCATGGTTGGGGATGCACCTGACGTCATTGAACTTCACAAGGAGGAAGGGAAATCTAGACCAACAGCCCAGGACTGATTCCTATGAGGCCAGAGGTCAGCTGTGCCTCCACCCTCCAACCTGTTTGCCAATCGTGACATCCACCGTGCCTCTATGGGACTCTCTACCTTTCTGCTGGATTCAATACTTCTTTGTAAGGGCCACACCAAACTCACAGACCATACCCAACAGTTACGGAATTTATTACAGTTCAGGATCAGGAACACTCAGGAGACAGTTCTTTGATCAGAGACACGTGCTCACAGGAAGGTCTCTCTGTGGCCCTTGGCGCCTTTGTTTTGGCCTCTCCTCTGCTCTGGCAAATGTTCCAAAACTCTTTCAGCTCAGATCAATAGTGATCCACTCTGCCAATAGACTTCTGCCTGAAGGCTCTCAGTTCTCCCACGGTGGGTCCCAAACTTAGTCCCATGAACTTCCCAGAAGCACCATACTCTGCAGCAAGTTGCCTGCTTGAAGGTGCTCAGCGCCCTCGCTCCATCATCTCCTGCTGGCCTCCTGACTCTACTTCCACCATTTCTCTGCCTGTTTCTTGCTTTATCTCTTAGGTCGAGGAGGCTCAACACAGGGCTCCTGAGTCCAAAAGACATGCCCTGTTCCCGCCTCTTCCTGGTTATGAGGGCCCCAGTTCCACCTCTGGTGTGGCAAAATGGACCCCTGCTCTCATTCAGGTTCCATACATTTCATGATCCCACAAGGACACCATGCACCTGAGTGACATGATCCCCAACACTGCGACGGGCCACATTTAATGGGAGTTTCAAAGACTTTGGCTAGAAGAGCCACACTAAGTAATTTGCTCAGTCTGGCTAGACCACAGGATGTACACTGGTACAGATGGGAACTGGAAACCCAGGGAACCCAGGGCGGACGATCCCTTAGGACCAGTGGTGTGAGTGGCGAAACAGGGAGGGTAAAGGGAGAATGGGTAGGAAAGAGGGAACCGATTACAGGGAGCTGTGTGTGACCTCCTCCCTGGGGGACAAACAACAGAAAAGTGGGTGAAGGGAGACATCAGACAGGGCAAGATATGACAAAATAACAATTTATAAACTATCAAGGGCTCATGAGGGAGGGGGGAGCAGGGAGGGAGGGGAAAAATGAGAACCTAATGCTGGGGGCTTAAGTGGAGAGGAGATGTTTTGAGAATGATGAGGGCAATAAATGTACAAATGTGCTTTACACGATTGATGTATGCATAGATTGTGATAAGAGTTATATGAGCCCCTAATAAAATGATTTTTAAAAAACAGTAATTTGCTCAAGTTGACTCTAAGCCAAGTGGTTTGCAAACTCTAGCATGCATGGGAACCACCAGTAGTGTGTGTGAGAACAGGCTGTTAGCGTATTTGATGCCACAGATTTGGGGGCTGCAGTCAGAAGGTGAGAATGGAGAGATGGTGGATTGACCTGGGACACATTGTCAGTGAGGGTCAGTGAGATGGATCAACATTGTGGTGACAGTAACAGCCTCAATCAGCAAGAGGAGTGACGTTTTGACCCGTGATGGACTAGGTCACTAGGAGCGACTAGGAGCCCGGGAGATGGCACTAACCAAAGTGGGTCAGGAGTGGGGTGCATGTATTTGCCTTTCAAGCAAAAGTTCCCAGGTGATGATGCTGATTATCTGAGGCCCACACCTTGAGAACCACGCCTCTAAAACCTTCCGTGACTCCCCAGGTTCTGGGGGAAGTACCCCCATTTCTCAGTGGGGTTTCTAGAGCCCTCAGCCATCTCTCTCATCCTTGCCACCCTGGGCAGTCCGAGGTCCCCGCCCCCCCCCTCCCCCCAGCCCACTTCAGGCTGCAGCTGAGTCACGTCTCCCAGACCTGAACATATGCTGAGCTCTGTGGAATACAACACCTGTGGGAAAGCTCTCGCAGCTGGGCTAAAGAGTGACAGAAGTGCCCCAACTCTGCCAACAAGCTTCTGCCTGCAGGCCGGGAAAAGAGAGTGCATGTGGACAAACTCTCTACGCCTGTAATTGAGTCGGAGAGGCTGAGACGCTGGTGGAGGAGGGGCTTCACACTCATGAGTTGGAAAGGAATCCCAGTCACATTCTGCTAACTCAGCAGTTATTCTCCATAATATATCAAATTTAAGATGCTGCTTACAAGCCCGTGGTTGCTACTATACACTTGAAGGTTATCTGCCATTGAGAGCAATCTGACCCTAAGTACGGCCCACTCCCTTCTGTTAAGTATCATAGATTGTTCCTCTGGAGAAGGGCTCAGGGGCCCCTACGGTCAAGCAAGCTCAGAGACAGCCAAGGTTAAGCCGCCATCTTAACTCTAGAACCCGCCCACGTTGGTACATATGTGCCTTCCTGTCACGTGTATGCCCCTAGTACCTCTCCTTCCTGTCACGTGTATGCTCCTACCACATCCTCTTCCCATTACATATGTGTATGATGTAGCTTGCATTCCCCGAAATTATATTAGCCTGTTGGAGAATACATTCAGGTTCTCTCTCGATCCTGCCATTGGAAGGGGTGAGCCCTTGCATGTCTGATCTGATGTTTCTTTAGTTTACCTCTCCATTACACAACCGCCCCTAAGCCAGGACCCAGTCAGTGGTGGAGGCTGGTCCCCCTCAGGTTCCTTCTGTCTTCACTGAGCTGGGGGCAGTCCTGCCTTCAGCTCTTATCTGGGATATGAACAGTCCCTCCCGCCCCTGACCACTCTGGGCCCGGGACCTTCTTTCCCACGGAAGCATGTCTGAGAGCAGAGCTCTGCACTTCCTCCTTCACTGTTGTACCTCAGCCCTTCTCCTCACTGACGAGGTGCTCACTGCTGAGGTGCAGCGGCTGGGCACCTGCTCCAACCCAACCCCAGAGGCCAAGGAAGGGTGACCTCATCCGAGCTAAGAAATCCAGCAG